TCTCTGTGAGATCCTGGTTCTCTGTGAGATCCTGGTCCTCTGTGATCACAGATTATCTGTGTTTATATTCAGCGGAGGCAGACCTCGTTCTAAATATAGCCCGCTCCGTGTTTGAATTCAGATCTTGTTTGGGTTTTATTTTAATGTGCGATGCCCTGGAGAGCTGCATATTCTAATGTGTGGATGGAGGAGCACCGCTTTAGCTCTTTTTATTCTTTCACTCGTTCCTTCCTCAGTAATGAAGGCTCTCTGCTGAACAGAGGGCTCCTGATGGAGAGAGAGAGCAACACGCAGCTACAAGTGAACTCGGCTGCAGCCACCGGCTGGAACTTAGAACATGATTGAGAATAGGGAGAAAAATGAATATATGAATACATGAATACGTCAGTGGGAAAGAAGACAGTGGAATAAGTGGTCGAAGGAGGACAGTGGGAGGAACCCTCCACTATTTAAATGAAGGGCTGAAGGATGAGGTGCACAGCTCTCTGTTTCTGCACCTCAGGTCATTGCGTGTAAAGTGTGTCTGCACAGTTACAGATGGAGAACAGAATACACTCCAATCTTAATATTATTGATATCATGTTGGATTCTTTCAAACCAACCTCAGAACGTTGACACACAATTCTAATAAGGATCCCTTGAATTTCTATTTTCTTTTTACTTATTGTGACAAAAATATGTTCTGAAAGAGTTTTTACTTTGCAAATTATTTTATTCTAGAAGTTTGTTGCTGTAAGAACTACTCGCTAGCTAGCAAGCTAATCGCTAACATGCTAGCCAGCTGGAAACATGCTAACACTAGCACGTCAGTGACGTCACAGTAGCGTCCCTGCATTGTGCCGTTTTTTTTCGATGTAAAATGTTGTACTCGGAGCTCAAAAACAATCAATAAGTTCACAAGATTATTTAAAAGCCATATTTGTAGCATAAACCACAGTCTCATAACTGTGTAAAACACATCGGTTTATACCGACAAGAGTTAAAAATAACGTGAAAGGTGCGACACAATTAATAATTCACTTAGTTTCCTCCATTAACAGTTTCCGTTACGGATGTTATTTAGGTCTGCGGCACCAATCTGTGGGTCGATTGATTTATTTTCTCCCGGTGTGACTCGGACATGGTTCAGTGGCTGTGACGGGATCGTTTACCGTCAAACGTTAAGTCTGTGAGCAGCTGACAATGATTACAAATCATTTGGTCCAGAAAATGTCAGAGACTAGTGAAAATCATTGATGTGTTCCTGCTTACAGTCAAAAGATATTCAGTTTACAATATGATTTACAAAACAGCAAATCCTCACATTGTAGCTTCATACTCGACTCGACGGACTAATTGCGTTATAATTCTGTTGATTTAACGGTCCATTAATCTGCAAACAGCTTGAGCTCTAAACTCACAGGAGTTTATCTGAGCGGGCCTGCAGCAGATGCATGCGCGCGACATCGGACTGCAGCTTGTGTCTCACGAGTAATGCACGTCCCAGTAGCTATAGACAGGTGTATATAGTATACATGGTGCAGTAATATACATGTACCATGTATACTGCCAGCTGCTGCAGCCACACAACAACAACAACAACAACAAGCCACAGCTCAAACACTCGGGAGGAAAATCATTTGAAGTCAATTTGAGTGAAGCACAGACAAGTACAAATTATTAGACCTCAGCCCGATGAAGCCATAAAACTAACAAATGGCCTCTGTCAGACCGCGGCCAACAGCAGCCAAGGTTGTACTAACAACACACACACACACACTCCATCCGCCTTGTAATGAGAAATGTTTGGACGTGGCCTTGGAATTCATCCCAGACGGCTGAAATATGGTTTCAGTGGCACAACGACAGTCCCCCGTTTGGCTCCTGGTCTCCGCTCAACAACACAATGCTGCAGGAACGAGTCCTCAAACACAGAAATGAGTGTTTTCACACTTCCTGTTCCCTCGTATGGAAGCTTTTTAATCTGTCTAACATGAACTTTAGCTTTTTACTTCTGATGATTGTATCATAAATCTTTTTCTTTAATAATCTCAAACCTAATGGAAGGATCTCATTGGTTTGTTGTGGAGGGAACCAGTGTGAGGCTAACTTCCAGCTGGAGCTACAAAATACCAGCATCCCTGCAGCTCTCTGTAATGAGCACAAAATAATAAATCATGCGGACAGGCCGGCTTTAATAACGTGTGTGTGTGTGTGAGAGAGGGATAACACACAGTTTATTCTGTGTCTGAAATATTAGAAGCAGCAAGGGGAAATTGATTTCACGTGTTCGGGTTATGTTGAAGAGAATTCTGTCTGATGAGGTAATTACAAGACAGCCGTCCTTGTGGGTTTACCGACATGTTTGAGCAGTAATGTGTACTAAATAAATAAATAAGCTCCATGCATGTGAGTGAAGCTGAAATATTACTTGTTCCTGATGGCGACGACGTCACCGTTAAATATTCAACTGAGCAAAGTGAGCCAATTAAAGGTGAATTCATCAGCCGGACTCCAATCACCAAACACTAATATTTAGAAATGAAGTCAAATACAAAAATCTGTGACCAAAACACCCCAAAGTACTTCCTCCTCAGATCCCAGTGAGTAGACGTCATCAGCAGGTGAGCACTGCTCGTACTGGGCAGCTCCAGCTGTGACTGTGTATTTCTATGAATATAAATGACACATTAAGAGCTGATAGTTCAACATGTGGGACAGATGTTCTCGTATCGTCACTGTTGTTGTTTAAAGAAGACACACACACACACACGGTCGGGGTTTCCTGAAGGCTCCTCATGAATTAAAGTGACAGCCTCTCGTCTCGATGTCCATGGAAACACACCGGCATGCTGCCGCGCTCCTATTGGAGGATCCACATCTGTGACCGGCTCAACAGACTTTTCTTTAGACACAAATATTGCCGTTGTCAGGGTACGGAGGAACGGGGGAGAATGAAACTCTCTTCATTTAGGGTGTGAGAGGGCATGATGGGAAATCTGCTCCACTCTTAAAAAACACCAGTTTTCATTTAGTCTGAAACTAAACCCTCGCTCGTGCTTTTAATACATAAATGAACATAAACTCAGTGGTGGAAGAAGTATTCAGGTCTGCCATTGAGTAAAAGTATCAGTACTACAGTAACCTCAAAGTTGTACTTATGTACTTTAGTAAATGCACTTTAATTTCTTTCTGTCACCAGATAATTCATATTGTTATTAATAAGTTCTGTTGAGCCAGTGTTTTCATCCTACGCTGTGTTTCATACATTAATAATCTGTTCTGTAGCTTCACTCACTCACAGTCGCTCTTTCGTACCTTTTCTTAGCTGCGAGCTAATGAAGTTTAACTTCCTGCTTCGGTTCATCTCTTGTTACCCAGCATGCAGCTCAGCGGAGCTCAGATCCATGACGGGGAGACACTCTGCAGCTCCTCTAAGTATACAAGTTAGGAGCGTGTTGTACACAGAAAGTACACAGTTTGTACAGTAAGTGTGTGTATTAAGACATCATTTACACTGGTTACAGTAAATAGTTGAGAGGACCTGGTTTTATTATATTTAATGCCTGTAGAGCTGTTTCTGTCCCTCAGCAGAAGAAGACCCTCAAGTCTGTGGTAACTTATAAGATATTTCTCTTTGAGTGTGACTATTCACCGTTCACTCCATCAACACGTGATCTGATCACCTCCACCGAGTCATCGGTGCTCTGTGTGTCTCCGGTCACAAGAGGGCACTAAACACCCCCCCCCCCCTCCAGAGGACGTCCTGTTACATTCATGTCTCTTCTTCTTCACTGGTTCTGACTCGACCGTGAGACGTCTCTGCTGTCGGATCATCGCGCCACAACAGTTCTTAGTTGTTGTTGTTACTTCTTGCCTCTGGGATTCCCGGGACAGTTGTTGGAGCAGACAGATGTTGCAGCTGTGTAGCTGGAGGTGTGTTTGTGTTGTGAATGGGACAATAAGAGAAACACACACACACACACACACATAGTGCAGCGATGCTCCAGGACGTCATACGTCACATCAACACTCACAGCGTTTGCTTTCGAAAAACGTTGTCTGTACTTTATTCTTTTACTAATCTCATTTTAAACCCCAGTATTACATATTTCTATCATGTGATAATGAGGCGTGTTTAGTTGTCTCACTCGTGTCTTTCCTTTAAACCCGCTGCAGGTCGAGAGAAGAGAAAGGGCCCCATGATCTCTGCCGGCGATGCCGAGTTCCCGCGGGATTACCACACGCTGGCCGGCGGCCGCGGGGCCCGGCGGTTCCCCGACAACACCAACACCAACGGGGGGTTCACATCCTCCTCGCTGGACCGCCGGCACAACTCGGTGGCCGCCAAGAGCCTGGAGGCCCTGAACAGCATCCACAAGGCGGACATCGAGCGGCAGAGAGACGCCCTCATGGACCTCCAGAAGAACAAGTTCTCCAACAGCCCCGGCAGCCTGTCGCAGGGCGCCGCCACCGCCGCAGGACGACAGGTAACAAAGACTAGAGGACGAGGATATCACTTATTATAATTAACTTCTGCTGTTTCATGGAGGACAGGATTCATGAGGATACTACGACAAATATCAGAGGAACTAGAGTGAATCAACTGTAAAATAATAGTTCATAAAGTGTTCACATTCTCACGTCAGCATCAGAAATACTGATTCTGAGACAGATAGAATATAAACGAAGAGTAAGACCAGACGAGGGCCGGTGTCGTGTCTTTATACGCCTCACCTCTCTGAGTAATGAGTAATTATACCGTTAATGTCGAGAGCATCTTTCCATCCACTAATAGTTTGTATGAGTGATGTAACAGACCGTTCGGTTCCTCCCACAGTTTAATAAAGTTCAACTGCAGATCGATATCGGACGATATTCAGTAAGAATATGTGATCAGGAGATCTGCATTAATGCCTTTTTATCAGAATATGTATTATATTAAGAGAAATATCTCAATATGCAGCATGACAGAAGGTTTTATCCGTATTGTTGCTTTAACGAGCACATGCAGGTCAGGAGAGCCAAATGAATTCATAAACACAAATGCATCAACGCAGCTACGAGACGCTCTCGATTCAAAGTTATAAATAATAATCATAACAAATAAAGTTTGTATGTTTCAGAGATCGAACCTTTTGAATATCAGCAGATAGTCAGAGTGAGGCTGCAGCTTGAGTGAGGATCTCTTCTCATTGTGAAATATAAATCTATCTTCTTGTTCTTTCGTCTGCTGACCTGCTGAACCTCTTGCACGTCTTTTTAATGCAGATCCAGACAAATGGAGGAGAGAGCCGCCTTCAGGCCTCTGAGTGCCCTCTGTCTCCACATGTGAACATTCTGTTTCTTATAGCGGCACATCGGTCAGCACACACACACCAGTGCATTATGGGAAGAGAAGCCTCGGGGGGGCTTTAGATGCTGACCAGCGTTCTGAGGCAATAACGGCCTCTTTTGGGACCTCTTGACCTGTTTTTGTGAGCGTTTTTTATAGAAAATCAGTTTTAAGTGAGAGAAAACAACAGGATGTAAAATGTTACACTCATGGATCCGTCGAGTCTCGCTCGTCTTCGTCGTCTCCTCTTCGTCGTCTCCTCTTCTCGTTCTTCCATCAATCACCTCTCACTCTGACGGACGCCTGAGACAGACGGTCCAAACAGAACCGCACCGTTCTGTTGGTGTTCTGTCTCAGAGTGGTGGGACGGGGGTCTACCCTCTGAACCCCCAAACAGTTTAGCTCAGTGGAAACAGCACAGTCAGGGCTGGAGGTAGAGAGATTTATGGCATTATAACACAGTTAAAATGCCATAAATCATAAGAAACATGTTGTACTTCTTCCATTGTTTATTATACGAAAACATCTATCCATCCAACATGTTTCCAACGGCCCACAAGTGTTGCTCATGTTAGCAAAAAACTAAATGAGGCTCTACGTGCTGGATATACGTTATACGTTATAACTATGACTATCTTTACAGCCTCTCCTCTGTGTTCAGTCAAAGATTCACTGAATTATTGTCCCGTGACTGTTGGTCTCACACGAGTCGATCATGGCTTCAGATTTGCGTTGAGAAGCGCAGAATTAAATGTTTTTTACAGGATCTGGTTTCTGAAAACGGTTTATTTTGGGTGACATTTTTAAACGAGACTTGTAGAATAAAGTGATTTTAACGTCAGTGTCTGTTGTTACAGCTCTGATAAGTGGAGTAATTTAGACTGTTTGTTCTTCCTCTGGTAGCAGGAAGACATATAACCACACTGTGGGCAAATAATACAACCCCATAACATGTTTGATTATATATAGATTGCATTTATTTGTTACTTTACATGCTGGACTTTGTGTTTTTTAAACTTAATGTTTCACTAATGCCTCATTCAGTCCAACATGCTGACAACAAAGTTGCTGAAGGAAAGGTTTCCCTTCAGGCCTCTCAGGCTTTTCTTCTTGTTCAGGAAAAGATCTTAGTTTTGGTTAAACTCCTAAAGCCCTGAAGGAGCTTACGGACGGACTAAGAGTTCAAAATGAAAAAGTTCTTGTAATTATTGGAGATGAATCAGCGTCCGTCAGTGAAGTCTGTTTATTAAAACATAACTGCGTATCATCATTCACCCTGTAAAGAACTTTATGAGATGTTCATCCAAGAAAGGGTCAAATCATGCGTGGGTCAAACAAATTGCACACTTTGTGTTATTAGGAGCTTCAAAGCCAGGCTAGCTGTTTCCCCCCGCTTCCAGTCGTTATGCTAAGCTAAGCTAAACCTGCTCCATATTTAAACACACCGACGTGAGAGGGACATGAAAGAGAAGTGAGTACATTCCCAGGATGTTGAGCTGTTCCTTTAAGTCTGCTCTCTCCTTCTCCAAGCCTCCCGTCAGCTTCTGTCCATCACGTCTCCTCCTCTCGTCGCCTCCCTCCCTCGTTTCCTCCCTTTGCTTCTCTCATGTGCTGTGTCTATTCACCACAAACCACACCGTCTATCTCCTGACGAAAAAAGGTGGACTGACACAGAGAGAGAGAGAGAGAGAGAGAGGGGGTGAGGGAGAGAGAGAGAGAGAGAGAGAGAGAGAGCGAGGGGGTGGGGGTGAGAGAGAGAGCGAGGGGGTGAGGGAGAGAGAGGGGGGGGGTGAGGGAGAGAGAGAGGGAGAGAAAGAGGGAGAGACAGACAGAGAGGAAGAGACGGGGAGAGAGAGGGGAGAGAGAGAGAGAGAGGGGGGAGGGAGAG